CCCCCCCCCCCCTCTCTCCCCCCCTCCAATCTTCCCCTCTTCTCTGTGTCTGTCTGTCTATCTCTGTCTATCTCTGTCTATCTCTGTCTCTGTCTCTCTCGATCCCTCTCTTGTCCGGCTTGCTTTTCCTCGTGTGCTGTGTATGTCGCTTATCTCACACATCAACACCATCACCGACCAATATATCACGAAAAACAACCACAAGAACAGGGACACTTCGACGAGGAGACGACGCCTGTGGAAATCCCATCTCGGAGAGGCTCGCCGACGACTATCACCAAGGACGAGGAGTACACAGATGTGAGAACCTGAGGACACAACCCTATCGATTTATTTTATTAGTATCCTACCAACACGTCGGGGGACTGTTGCAAACGCGGTTTAACCTCTCCTTGTCTTGCCGTCAGTGTTCACCTTCTCGCGTGTTGAGGAGCACTGGCCAACTCTTTTCCGTCGACGTCTGTTCCCGCAACGTGTATGCACGTATATCAATCGGAAACAGATCGACCTCGGTAAACTGAAAAGCTTGCGGCCTGCGTTTCAGCGAGAAGAGGGCACAGTGACTGCCGCCAATGCTAGCAGCCTCAACGACGGGGCGGCCGCGCTTGTGCTCATGAGCGCCGCAAGGTACTATACGCTTGGTGGTGTTGTGGCTGCTGCTGCTGCTGCTGCTGCTGTTGCTGTTGTTGCTGTTGTTGCTGTTGTTGCTGCTGCTGCTGTCAGAAATCTGAATTTTCGACCACCTCTCCAAGTGAATCTGCGGCACGACACGAAGGGTGGGCGCAGTGTACCTCACATCTACGTGATTATTGATGTCAATATTTACAGGAACACGCGACAGGTGTGATTGTGCTAGCCTTTCGAAACCCGTCGCTGGCTGCATCGCTCTATACCCCCCCACCCCAACATTCATCAGTATTCATACAGGAAACGATGGCACTTGTTGAACAAAACGCGATGGAAAACATGTGACGGTCCTCAAACGTTCATTCACGAACGACAAATTGCTTCTCAATCGTGGCCAAGATGCGTGGTGGTTGGTGTAGACTGTTCAGGCGAAGATGAAGCAGGCACCCTCCCAAAAACAACGCAGCGGTCGCTCGGATTTCGGTGCTGAGCAGGGCGGAGGAGCTCGGGGTTAAACCGCTTGCGAGGATCCGGGGGTACGGGGACGCTGCTCGCGTGAGTGTTTTTCTTCTGCTCCCATTCTTCCGCCACCCCTCGCGTGGGTGCCGCGAAATTGAGCTAAGACAGACGAGATATACGTTCGACAAACATTTCTTGGACCCATAGGTTAGTAAGGCTCGTGGAGGGTCAGCCGAGTTTAGCCGTGTTTGTTGTTGCTGTTGCTGTTGTTACGGAACGGCACCCTACGATTAGTGCAGTAGCTGCGGTAGCACTCCTTCCCAGCGTTCTCGTGAGAGGACCCCAGCAGTCAATCTATCGACCGATTGATGAAGCGACTGCTTGTCCATCGCATGGAGAGAGGGGGGCAAACCTCTCGACGGCTCCACGTTGTCTTGGAGCACATCGTTCTCACAGGCGTAGAAGAGGAGCGTGAGAATAGAGCGCTGCATAGCTGACAGCAGGGTGGGCTTGTACTCGAACCAATGCGTTCCTTCCCCGCAAGAGCATACAAAAGATGGACAATCACAAGAAACATGCCAAGACCTTTCCCGAGCCGTTTGACGATGACTTCTTTCCCTCCCCTGCTGAACACCACCGACTCGCAGGCTCCGGTAGAGTTCACCGTAGCACCCTCGGATGCGGTACCGGTGGCACTAAAAAACGCCGGGATATCTCTGGGAGACGTTGACTTCCACGAGATCAACGAGGCATTTAGTGTCGTCGCCTTGGCGAACATGAAGGTGAGGCGTTCCGGGCGTGCCGTTTGCCTTCTGTTGGAAAATAGTGTAGGGAAGGGGGGCGGGGGCGGGAAGAACTGGGTCGGTCTGGCTGGAATGACTCATGGAACCAACCAACCCCGTGCGACCACTCGCGATTCCTAGCATGTCGCGTAGACCACTGGGTCGCTTGCTGCCCCTGCCGTCTGGTACTTGTAGAGCTGTAACGCTGTTTTCTGCTGCGATTTGGTGGCGTGTGACGCTCGGGTTGGCAAGGTTTAAGAGGGAACGGGGTCCTTCTTAGTGCACTAGCGTGGTTGGTTGCTTCCTTGTCGCGGTGTTTGCAGTTGACTGTGCGATCGCCGGGAGATTGTGGCTTGCTGTTGGCGAAAGAAGAGGTCGCCAAGGATGGAGTCGACTGCTGGTGGTGGGGCAGGAGAGAGGCAACGGCCGGAAAGCTCGTTTCCGCCGCCGATCCGCGGAACCAACACTGGATATTGCCCATTAACCTTATTGGCCACCTCGGGCATCACCACAAGACGGACTACTGCACCTTGCAGTGTTTAAGTCGGCTCTAGTGCTAGTGCGAATGGGGTCATTTAAGGCTTGCAATATCTTGCCTGCGTAAGATCAGTACTACCTTCCGATCACACTCGTCCGGCATCGAAGGCGATGGGCTAGGGGAGAGAAGGCTTACTATCCCCCCCTGTGACGGCACGATGAAATTCTGAACGTAGCAGTCTTGCGCCGTCACTACCCCGACCCGGGAATTTTGTCACTCATCCGCCTCAGTAAATGCACGAGTCATTCGATCTTGATGCCCTTGCCATTAGAGGCAACACCAATCGTAAGATATCACCCCAATATGTACAACCTTTCAAAACGAGTCCCTTTCCTTTCCGTTCGGCGTCGTGCAGATTCTGGGTCTCGATCCTGCGCGGGTAAACGTAAACGGAGGAGCGGTCGCTCTCGGACACCCAATCGGGTAATTATAGAGTTCATTTCTGACGCCATCTTTAGTGGTGGCAGGGGTGCCGACCGCCTTGTTTTCTGAGTTTCGTTTTTTTCCACGGTACCTGGTATTCCCGGGTCCGCGCCGTAACGAGCATGTGTAAGCATGACTCACAATCCCGCTAGGCACGCGGTGTGATTGCGGACTTTTCTGGTGATGAACTATTACTGTAAGCAAGCATCGTCAGTCACCGCATCATAATCAACAACAAAGTTAGACTGTCTAGGTACCAACGGGATGTCGAGATTGATGTTGAGGAAAGCAAACCACCGACCTAGTTCGTGGCCATTACCATACGAAGTTTCGACATTTCGATGATGGGAATGTATCGCGATACATACAAAGAGCGACATGTGGAGTCGTGATACAGACATAGAGTAACCTTCGATCCATGCAGGCGATCGAGGTACACTCAGAAGTCATGACACACGACACATGACCTATCGCCCCTCTCCCCCCCTCCCCCTCCGGTAGTTTTCCGTGTTACGCTTGACGTTCCTGCTGCAGCTCCTGTAGTTCCTCACGACCTCTTTGTCCCGTTACTTCCTTCCCCCCCCTCATATCGTTCGTTACGTCGCCGTCTCCCGGTCATTGTATGCCTGTCGCTTCACCCCCCTCAATAAAATATGCCCAACACACATGTTCCTGCTGCTTCCTGGCACCGCTGCTGGTTCCTGGCACCGCGGTAGGTCGTCTGGTGCTCGCATCATCTGCTCCCTGTACCACGTGCTCAAGCAAAACGATGGCACGGTGGGGTGCGCGTCCATCTGCAATGGAGGCGGCGGAGCCTCGGCGATCGTCATCGAACGCTTACAGTGACAGCAACGGCGCTGTACAAATTGATGTCATCGTGCTACACTCTACTCCGTCACCCGTAGCATAATTGTTCCGATTTTTTCGGGCGCTGCATTGTTGTTGTCGTTGTCTTTCACGTGGAAAAAACGTTCCGGTAGAGTATCTGCTCAGCATCCTTCACCGCCGACACTGGTCCGCCTGGCGCGGACGCCTTCCGTGGATCAAAGGCTAACTACCCAAGATAGGCAGGCGCGCATGAGACGATCGAAGATCGTGCAAGTTTGTTGGGCCCATTTTTTTTTGTGTGCGTGGGACAGGTTGCAAGGGGCATCCTTTTTGTTTTTTTGCTCTCACAAACACGAAAGACGATTTCGTCAATAATCGCAACGAGCTCTTTGTTGTTGAGACAAAGACGAGAGCTTCGACCTGTCCCGTTGGTAGTTTCAAGTTGACCAAGACAACTTGGATGTTAGGGCTTTACGCAGACGGAACCAAGTCTTTCTTACGGGGATAGGCGATCGCAGCCTTGTGTGAACGATATGATGTGTGTTTTTGGTCAAGTTGTTCGGTCCTGCAGCAGTAGTAGTACGATGTTGCAGGCGCCAGCGGCCTGTTCAGGTCAAGTTCGAATGTGATGCTGCTTTCCCCGCACGAACGATGCCGAGTTTGACGATCATGCATTCTTTTCATCGATCTCCCGAGCAGCGGAGGTGACGATAGATAAGACCCCTGCAAATATATGCATCGATCGACCGAACGTCTCTTTACTTTTGACTCAACCCACAAGAGTACACAGGTCCTTGTTTTCTCTTTGTAGAAAGCCGCCACCCCGTTGCCACCACTCAATTGAACGGGCTTAGTCAGGGGCCAAAGAAACCAAACGGCCTTGGCTGGGGGTGCGGAACACGTGACTCGGTGTTTAAACAAAAAGTCTGCCTTAAACGCCGCTCTGATTGATCGGCATATCTTTCTATTCTTCTCTCTCTCGCTCCGCCTCTGGCGTGGACCACAGCTATGGTGAGCTATTGCATCGATCGAAACTCGGATGAATGCCCGTTTGGAAAAATGCTGATGATGGAGGGACATAGATACTGTACACCCCCGGAAAAAAAATCACCCGTTCAGAGGGCTAACAAAACAGAACGGGAGAAAGGACAGACGCAGAAACAATCAAACTACACAGAGCTACACACGAAACCGCTGCTCGCCTCCCCCCTACCTTCTGCCTCCGTCTCCTGCACAGAACAGGCTTGACGCCTGTCGCAACTGACTACCCCCAACGCCAACGCGTATTGCGTCTTTCACTTTTTTTTCTTGCCCGAAAAAAAAAGCAGCCGCGTCATATGAGGCCCGGCGCTGTGCGGGTGATTGGCTACGTGCCCCAATCAACACCCTCACTAGCACAACGCGGGCGATAGCTCCTAACACGAACGAGCCTTGAACTAATCCCTCGTCTTCCTACGCCCAGGCTGAGGAGGAAAAACCGAAATATACATCAGGCGCATCAACCAGAGGCCCCAGTCAGCAGGCAGAGTGTTGAATAAGCGAGAAATGCACAATGCCAAACATGGGTGCCTTTCAAGACAACAAGCAATCGATACTACGGCATGGGCAAATTCATGAAACTATTTAAGCGATCTGAACGAACGCAGGGGGTGTTTTGAGGCAAAAACCCTCGACGGCATCAAGGTAGTGATGTCTCGACGCAGGCTCCTCCCACGATCTGCTTCGCCTGTCCCAAAATAGGAAGGGATTCTGCTTCCCAAAAAGCCGAAAGCAGCTTCGGCTTTGACTGGCAAGGCTTGAGCTTCTTCCGCAGTCGAGTTCCCCC